AATGCTGAACCATTATTTTATGATTAAGAAAATCACTATGAGCCATTTGATTAAATGTTCAAAATATTTTTCATATTTACAAGTTGGGAGAATGAGATGAGGAAGTGTAAACACCACAGTAATGAAACAAGAAATAAAGTAAATGAAGCATAAAGTAAATGACACCAAAATTTAGCTTGAAAAATAAAAAAATAAAAAAAGCCATGGAGTCACACCACACCACACCAAGAAATCCACTATAAATATATGGAGAAATATGTATAGGCATCTATTCTTTCTCACTACCTCCTTACTTTTTTTCTCACATGCATCGTTCTCAAACTTGCCCTAATTGAAAATATAAGAGAAAGCGAAGTAAAATAACTCCAAGGGACACAACCCTTCAGAAAACGAGAAAGAAAACGGTCCTGCCTGTCTTGAAGCATTGTGGTGCTCAGTCTCTATTTGACATTGTTGTAGCGCTCAAACACTCAACGCTGCGGCTCTTAGTTTTTGCCTTGACCTGTTGCGACATCAAATCTAGGCCACTGTGGTGCTTTGGTCTCTGTTGTTCAGCGTCGGGGCACTTGGGTATGTAACGCCGGGGCACTCGGGTACGTAATGTCGGGTGCTTAGGTACACAGCGTAGGGCGTTGTACGAAAAAAAATTATATATTAGTTAACTGACCAAATGATCTCCTAATTTGACATGCATATAGTCGAATCAAGTGGCTCGATGAGATGAATCCAACTAGCCCAAGATTACTTAGTTTTGATTTTATTAAGGCACTTAAATGTTGAACCATTATTTTATGATTAAGAAAATCAATACGAGCCGTTTGATTAAATGTTCCAAATATTTTTCATATTTACAAGTTGGGGGAATGAGATGAGGAAGCCACATCAATGAAACAAGAAATAATATAAATGAAGCATAAAGTAAATGACACCAAAATTTAGCTTGAAAAAATCAAAAATAGGGAAAAACCACATAGTCACACCACACTACATCAAGAAATCCACTATAAATATAGGGAGAAATAAGTATAGACCTCTATTCTTTCTCACTATCTCCTTACTTTTCTTCTCGCATGCATCGTTCTCACACTTGCTCTAACTGAAAATATAAGAGAAAGCCAAGTAAAATAACTCCAAGGTACACAACCTTCAGAAAACGAGAAAGAAAACCGTCATGTCTGTCTCGAAGCACTGCGGTGCTCAGTCTCTATTGGACAATGCTGCAACGCTCAAACACTCAGCACTGCGGCTCTCAGTCTATGCTTAGACCTGTGCGACGTCATATCTTGGCCAATGTGGTGCTTTGATCTCTGTCGTTCAGCGTCGGGGTGCTTGGGTATGTAACGCTGGGGCGCTCGGGTACGTAATGTCGTGTGCTTAGGTACACAGCGTAGGGCATTGTACGAAAAAAAAAATTTCGTGTGCAAAGCACCCAAACCCAAGCAGGGGATAAACCCCCACACCCCCCAGTGTACACAACAAGCTTTGAGGTTTGAGACAACAAAACTACAAAATTGATCAAAACAATCAAATTCCACACATAACATTACAAATATATCACTCTAAAAAAAATTATAAATAAGCAACCACTCTTTATATGAAGGAGGAGCTTAGCGCTGAAGCCAAAACACTCTTGAGATTTAAGAGAGCTTTAAGGCTTTAAGTATATTGAAGCACCACTGTCTAAATGAAGGAGGAGCTTAGCGTTGAAGCCAAAACTCTCTTGAGATTCAAGAGAGCTCTAAGGCTATAAGGATATTGAAGCACCACTGTCTAATAACATTTGTTCAACCACCATCCAATCATCATTGTCGGTCTAATGACCCGAACACCACCATTGAGTCAATGTCAGAGCGCCATCATCAGATAATCACACAAAGCACACCATCATTTATCTCAATGCATGTCATCAAGATCAACTCCGACTCTTAATTTCGGCACTTGAATTTTGTGCTGGAGTCTGCCAAGTGGGTCTTTCAACTTTCATCAACTAATGTGTCATTTATAATGCATCAAGGTCTTCCCTGAGAACGAGCTTAAGTTGTAATTAAATATAGATACCAGCGAAATCACTTTTAACTTGGTCGGACCCTATAGTTTTTGCCTTTCCAGAGTTTTTCAAGTAAAAAAAAAAAATATAATGTCTATTGTAATTCTTATACTCATCTCTTATCTCTATATGCGTGTTGTATCTTTTGTGTAAAGCTAGAACATTAAATTCTCTCTCTCTCTCTCTCAACGTAAATGTTATAACACAAAATATATATCTCTACAACATAAGTCGATAAGCTTTACACAACCATGAAACCAAGTTCTTTTTGGGGATGTTTGGAATTTTTGTTTCTTCTTTTTATTTTTAACTGTCTATCGTATATTAGTTTGAGCATAATTTTGTTTTTATTCTTTTTTAATAGTTTATGAGATGAAAATATTTTTTAATATTTAAATCTATTGAAATATAATAGCTATACGAAAGTTGTTATATAAGTTAATGAATTTATAATACAAATATTTTAAGAATATACTTTTATCATAACAATTTTATGTTTCTTTTAAACGCACTTATCCCAAATCATAACATATCATATAATTCTAAAAATTATAAGGTAACATCATATAGACTTCATACATAAATTTTCACATAAAATTAAGATATTTTAGGCCTTGTATTTTGATTTCCACTCTTCACATATAAATGTGCCTCATCTTCTTTCCGTTGCTAGTCCTCCTTCACACGAACTTTCCTTGTTTTTTTACCTCATTTATTGGAGCTTCAACCTCTCCAATTGGCACCGGTCGGGCATTTTTTTTTTTTTTAGAGTAAATTAGAGCTACACACGACCACTTTCAGTAATACCCTAAAAATGTATCTATCATTAGATTCAGGGGTTTAGCAAGAAAAACTATTAATACACAAACAGGTTCAAAATTTAAACCCAGACCCGACTTGAATCGCATATCTGGACAAGCGTAGGCAAGCGTTCATCAAGTGTGGGACGTGGTTTGCAACACTATGTGAGGGATCATGCCCGAGATGCGGTGCGTAGGCGAGACGTACAGGTTCACAGGACGTGCGGGCGCGCAGGTCTGTCATACTCAACATAGACGAGATGCATGCACATGACATGTTGGTGAGAAGCAGTAGTGGGTCATTTCCAAGTTAGCGGGTTGACCTAGACCAGACTCGATTTTTCAAATGACCGAAGTGAACTCAAACCTGATCCATTTGTTAAATGGGTCGACCCTAAACCAAATTTTTCGGGTCAAGTTCGGATCCGATTTTCGTGTCTTATTTTCAAGTCTATCAAATATTGACACCCCTAAAGAAAAGGCTGTTGTGAGGTAACACTAAAAGGTCCACATTGAAAATATAAATTTTGCAGTCAACAAGCTTGGAGGGGACAAGGGATTTTCAACAATGTTCTCATCAAGAGCCTTAACATAGTTAAACTCTCCTGAACTGATCCAAGGGTAAATTATAGCAATAAAGATGTTAGAAATTTTATAACAAAAATGTTCAATACACAAGAAATTATATTGAAAGTATATCTCCCTTGTAGGTGACGAGAGAAATTGGTCCCCAATTTTTTTTTTTTTTTTTTTAGCCACATTACTTGCTTACTCGGCACAGTTTTAAAGGAAGACCAAAACATTTTATCATTAAAAATATGATGAGAAAAGATTATCGGTGGAGCCCTGAATATAAATAAGAGCATTAATATATTTCTCATTGAATATCCAACCTGAACTCGGGCAGTGAACTTGGATAATGGGTCCACCAATGCATCGCATGCTCGTCGGATCCAACCCTATCAATAAATCACTCTGAATATTAAAAAATCAGCCGTATAACGCTGACACTTTCCACGCATGAAGCAGAAATTATTTTGTGCGGAGCCTGGACACAACTCTATCGTTTAGAGGTGAATCATGTGCAGCCACGCCAACGATACCGAGCAGTACCGAGCCACCGTACACAACGAAGATGCGACATGATGCATTCTGATTAGTCTCCATAAGACATTCAGCATCCACACAAAATAATTAATCTGCTCGAAGACAGCTCTTGAGAGTTCACCACTCAGCACTTATCACTCACCAATTATCCCCATCAATCACATTTCTTAGTACTTTTTTAGACTACAAACGGTTTAGAAATGAAATAATTTTAAATGAGAACACAGGAATGTTTATATTGTAAAATTTTCTTGTTATTTTCTATCCAATGTAATATTGGCTTGATAATCACGTTCTTGTTGGGAACTTTTATTAGGTCCTCTGACCGGACGTAGCTCTACGTTCGGTTATCACTGAGTTACTCGGTTTTTGCTCGGTATTTGCTCGGTATTGCTTGGCAATAACGAAAAATATCACTATGTGAAGACCAATATCGAGTAATACCGAGCAATACCGAGTTTTTCTAGAAAAAAAGTTTGGTATTTTCTAGAAAAACTCGGTATTACTCGGTATTTGTCTTCACATAATGGTATTTCTCGTTATTGCCGGTATTGCTCGATATTTGCTCGGTATTTCTTATTTTGTGTCTGCTACGTAGCGCGATCTTAATGCCGGCCGAACGTAGTTCTAGGTACGTTCACCGGACCAAATAAAAATTCCCTTGTTGGACTCCCTGTCTCCCAGTGCAACAGGACAAATTAATAACGTACAAAACACTTGTGACTTGCGAGAGAATTTCTTTGGAAAATTAAAAAGGCACACGGGAGCCCAAAGGATAATCTGAGGTGGAGCGCACAGTTTAGATCACATCCGCAGCAGCTGCTCGGAATTGGTGCGAGAGAAAACGTTAGAAGGAATAACGAAGTCCCCCCTTTTTTATCGCGAAGGGAGCATCTGCGGGCTTAGCACATGTAGAACAGTAAAGCCTGCATATGCGCACATGCAATATTACAACGCGAAGCACCAAAATTTTCATAAAAGAGGAAATTTTTGATTTATCCATCAGTTGGTAGACAAGAACTTTGTAAATAAAATAAATTTTTGATTCTGCCAAGCTAAATCTCGCCAAACCGAGAGTGAACAAAAGAACCCAAACAGCTTCATCTGTTGTTACAAATATGTCCACCAGCGTCCAAGCAAAACAGATAAGAGCTTTGGAAGCAGAGCAAAACGATGGTGGGAGGAAAAGTGTTTACAAAAATGAACTGAAAATCCAACCTAAAGGACTAATATTTATATCAATAGCAAGCAGGGTAGTCTGATTCTGAAACAAACGCATGGAAAAAATTTAAGGGGAGAAAAAAAAAAAGCTAAACTAGAGTTAATTTTGAATTGTTTCTAGTTTAGTGATTTAATTTGGGATTTTTCTATCTAGTTAAATCCCGTGGGTTACCGATTTCTCGCATTTTGTTTTGGAGAAGCTATTTGAGTTGCTGATGCTGTACTTTGCTGCAGATGAGCCATCTTTCTCCCTTTTAGGGTGCGAGAAGAGTTGGCCGAAGCCTGAGACCGAAGCGGGCTTGGCCGTGCTGCGGAGATTGCAAAAAGGAACATTAAGCACGGGAGTGACCATGAGGCTAGCTGACCTAGACCGCACCATTCCGCGAGGGCGAGATCTCGGATCGCCATTGGAAATGTTTGGGCTGCTTGAGCTTCTTTCAAGCCCCTGGAAAATAACTTTCCCTGATGCATTGAGCCGCGGGCTGTCCATCAAAGGTTTCAGCGGCGAAGGTAGATCATCGGATTCCGACGAGTGAAGCATAAGGCTGCTGCGGCCGGCTCTGAATGCGGCGTGGCCTTCCAAATCCGATTCAGAAGCCCATCGAGTCGAACTCAGACCGATCCGCATGGCAGCAATATTACCGCCCGCAGACAATTCAGAAGGCCGGCGGAATGCCAGTGATCTAGTCTTCGCTACCCTAGCCCGCGATCGATTTCGGCACGGAGACATGGGGAGCGGGGTGATCTTATCGGAGTCGAGGGAGAGACGCGGAACATCCTCGTGGTCAGCACCAGAGGACGAAGAAGAAGAGAGTGAGGCGCGAGCTGATGAAATGGACACCGATTCGTAATCAGTGTCACGAAGGGTTTGAAACCCCAGGTTGGAGTCGATCGAGGGAGATCTGGAGTTCAGGCGAAGGAGATGTTTCAGAGATTTGGCATTGGAAACCTTAGAAGAAGCCGTCACGGTCTTCTGGCTCTCTGCATCGGTACTCTGTGCCCTCTTCATACAGAGCAGTTCCTTCAACACACCTGAACACCTCGGCGCCTTCGGTGAAAATGAGTAAAGATGATCTGATCCCGAAACCTTTTCTACACACCGCGAATGCATCGAATCAGGTGATCTGATCTCCAACTCCGGCTCCGCTGCCGGCTGAAGCGGCACGAGATGCAGAGGAACCAACTTCCCGTCCACGAAAAGCTCGTCTGCGGACATCATCGTTACGGGATCATTGAGCCGGAACTCAAAATCGGCGAAATCCATCACCGAACCCTCCCGATCGGACTTCTCACCGCCATTCTTCCCGTTACCATCGGCGAAATCGCGGCTAAATGAGAGGCTAGGACTGAGCCAGCCGTGTGAAGGTTGAACAGGCGGACAGTCGAGAAACTTCTCCGGCGACATTGCGACATTGTTGATGCACACCGAAGCCATCGTCCACCACCACGTGATGCTCCAAGATTCGCGCCGATTCTCAAAAGCCTTTGCCAAAGGAGAAAGACTTGCAGAGAGGAGGATATCGAATGAGTTTATCCACCACTACCTATCCTCCCTTATATACTGGCGGATTCTTTTAAGTTGGGATCTTTAAGGGAACCCAAAATTTAACCATTATTTTACACCCAATTTCCATTTTTGTACATAAGCTGAGAGAACTGCAACCGGCACGTGACCGTGCATTCCAAATACGGAAATCGATGCGATATCGGGGTTAAATCATGGGTTCAATTTAACATTTTCCCAAAAAAAAAAAACATATTCATGACGAATATTTGAATGACGCGTGTACATCACTAGTGTGCAGCAGACCGGATAGCTACAGACCGAACCGGGTCTGATTTGGATATAAAGACCAAGTCGAGTTTAATGAAATTGCAATAAATACGTTAAAAAGTTATCTTATATAAAATTGGTCAAATTATATTTTAAAAAAAAATTATTAGGGCTTTCGAGAGAAGAAGACGAGAAATACTGAAGTTGCCGTGCGGGCATTGAGAGATATTATAATAGCGCTGAGGTCAAATTTTTTAGGCTGGAGAAAGTATAGTTGTTGGAAGGTCAAATCTTTGGTGAAACAAAATGCTGAGTGAGTGTGGAGATTTTACTGAGCGATGGTAATGTGTTGGAACCAAATCAAAGGATTTTTGATAATGAGATCATAGCATATTATTTGGGTTTGAAGATTTTTTTTATTTGAAGGATTTGAAAGAAAGATGCTCACTCGATTAGAGGAGTAGATAGATTTGACATTGGTGATAATTCGATTAGAAAGGGTCCTTTCGGAGGGGATGCACAATATTTGTAATTGATGATTGTATAAATTGTGTGAATTGCGTCATTGTGAGAATTTGAATAAGGTTAATCAAGTTATTATTAATGTATACATATATGAATATAGATATGTATGTATGTATGCACACGCATATGCATCTATATGTATAAATATTGTTATGTTCCAGAACAATCGGGGCGATAGAGTGAGAGATTTTTTTTTTTTTAAGATGTTGTACAAAGATCTCACATACACATATATTAGAGAGGAGTGCAAGAATTAAAAGAAACAACAAATTTTTTTATGTGCACGAAAGGAAAAAATCATGAGATTGACCCAACTGAAATGATTTCATTGTTGTTTCTCAATGGTTACAAATGATGCTCTTCAATTCCTAAGGGATAGCACAATTGAGTTCTTAGAGGATACCTGTAAAGCCTAAAAAACCAATTAATAGAGCAGTCCCGAAAGACCTAAAAAGCCGAATAACACCACCGAAGTACCAAACACACTAAATATAAAGAATAGATTATAAGCACTTAAGGCTTAAATCATGAAATAAAGGAGTACAATCATCGCTAATAATAAGCCTAACCCCTCACAAGTGAAGGCACTGGACAAGAAAATTATGCATTAGAAAAAGGAGAACTAAAATGAACTAGGTTACACTCAAAACCTCATGAGAAACACCAGCACCAATCTCCTTCATAATAGCAACTAACATAAAAGGCAAATTAGTAAAACCGTTAGCGAATTGAAAAAATCATAAAGAATGAAAGGTTAACAAGAAATTCAACCATCCATAGCCCAACATTAAACAAACCACTCGAGAAAGAAAGCCCAAAACCCCAGAAATAAACCAACATAGATTCTGACATAAGGAAAACCAATTTTCTCTAATCTAATGATGCATTTGAAAATAGTATGTTGATTAAAACAACTAAAATTAGTGAGATACTCAAGGTTACAACCACAATTAATTAATCAATCAGCACAAGCATTACCCTCCCTATAATTAAGTGTAATATTTATAATTATCCAAGATTAATAGAGTATTAATCTCCCTAATCAGGTAGAACAAATCAGCCTGGTAAACTTTCTCAACAAAATTATTTAAATAGAAAATACTATAAATGGCATCCACCTCGATATATATCTTAGATATCCAATAGAAAAACATGTAAGATGGCTAAAAGCTCAACATAAATAATATAACACATCTGCAAAGGACCAGCATAAGCCATGATGAAATTCCCATTATCATCCCTAATTATACCACCATAACCAAAAACCAAACCCTAAACCCTATATTTAGGTGCTACAGATAGATTAATTGTAATGACCTAAAATTTTAATTGATTAATGAATTGCCAAATACCTAATTTTAAATGGATTATAAAAACTTGCATGAATGAATATTTTGCATGGGAGCACTTTGGCACTATGCTGGCGAGTATTGGTGTTATTCTCTGTTATTGTGGGTGCTGGATTGAGCGAAGCAGTAGTGTTGGACATTGGCATTGCAATGCCATCTTCTCAGTTCTACAGTGATTAGGTCAGTGTTGCAGTGCTTAGATTTAGAGCATTATGGTGCTAGGTCAATGACAATATTTTTTGAAATATTTAAATATACTATCACATTTTAAATATCCCATAAGTCATTTCCTCCATATAATGCTAAGACAATAATAAGTCTTCTAACACTTATTGCAAATAATATTTTGGAATGCAACATGTATATATAAAGAAACATATATATGTAATCCATCATCAAAACTTGATTTGATATGGCAAAATCTCAATGTATATTTAAATTAGAAATCTTTGAAATTAAAATCAAGAACATCCAAACTCTAATTTTTAAGAACTTAAAGGCAGACTGAACAACATCATGAGATAAATTCATCAACACCAAAAGTTAACTTAGTTAGTGCCCAAATAATCCTAAATTAAAAATATGATGCATAATTAAATCTTTAAAATATTAATTAGGCAAACAAATAATGTCCTAATCTCATAGGCCTGGAGTCAAATTGAGTGTAACGATGAGTACAAGGCTAAAATAACCTAATTTTGACATCATTAAGATACCATACTACTAAAACAATAATATATGATCAAGAGATTCAACACATGCCATCTAATGGAGTGTTTTGGATTTGGAAAATTTTAAAAGGCATTCCTCTCTAAAAAAAAATTATATAGGTCCCCATTATCTATATAAAAGTAGGGGTTAGGGATTGGACATTAGCTAAAGATTAAAGATAGCTCATACACATGATATATGACTCTAGTGCTCCCTAGAACACCAAAGCTAGACCACTATGTAAGCAGCATTACTATACCATGGCTCAACTGCTACAGTCAAATCACCACCTAATTGGCACTTTCTATCCATTATTCTACTGCCATTATTAGGCCACCACTTGATTAATATCAATATAACATAACCTAATTGTTCTTGTTAGACATCATCAAGCACAGTCATCAAATCATCACCCGATCACCAAAATTATCAACTGATCATAGTCACTTGACAATGATCCTCTAACCACCATTACTTAATTACAATACTGTGAACACCATTGCCCGACTATGATTCCCTACCTATTATTTCTTGATTGTATTCCTTTGACAATCATTAATCGACTATGGTCTCCTAACCATCGACACTTAATAACTTTTATCCAACCATTGACTCTTGACTATGATCCATTGACAACATCGCCTAATTATGGCCCGACCACTATCACTCAATTAGGATTCTTCGATCATCATCTCCCAACTATAATCCTCTAACCATTGTCACTTCATAAAAATCTCTCAACCACATTTTGCTTAATTGTGATCTCTCGATCATCTCGATAAGCTATGATTCTCCAACCACCACTGTCAGGTTACGATCTCTCGATCAGATTACTATCCATTAACCACTATTAGCTGACTATAGTCCTTTGACTAAGGATAATGAAGTATTGTCTTGTGGCTTCTCAAAACCCATTACTCGACTATTATATATCTCTCAATGTCTCTTACTTAAATATGCATTTTTAACCACTACTACCTGATTGAATGTCACACTCTGGGATCTAAAGTAAAAGATTTTTTTTTTCTATTTATCTTTATTATCTTTTCTTTTAACAATCAATGATAAATCTTTTACAACTAGATCAATTTAATATTTTGAATTGATTAATTGAATAATAGAAATAAATTAATAACAAAAATTACAATTCATATTATTATAGTCAATATTTTCATTCAACAACAAAATCTCAAGTCCAAAATAATATATATAATAGCCTTCATAGGCTACAAAAAATTTAAAATAAACTAAACAGTGTTGAAAGAAAATTATACATGTTATCTGGTTCCTTATGCTATAGGATACTTACCCTCTCATGTAAACATATAAAATCATGTAATAAGCAAAAAAGCCAACAACAACGACAACATTAAGCCTTTATCCCACTTAAGTGGGGTCGGCTACCATGAATCCTTTTTCTCTATTGTGTCCGGTTAAGAGTCAAATTCTCATATAAATCTAATAAAGAAATATCATTTCTAATATTTTCTAACCAAGTCATTTTAGGTATATATCTACCTTTCTTAACATAGGTAAAATCAACTACATCTACTCTCCTAATTGGGTCATCAAAAGGCTGCCATTTTATGTGACCAACCCATATAAGGCGCCTTTCTCTAAACTTATGTACCACTAGAGCTACTCCAACCTTTTTATGTATATGCTCATTTTGTATTCTATCTCTAAGAGTAAAGCCACTCATCCACTAAAAATAAAAGCCTAACAAATAACTAAAATCTTACATCTGAAATCAATATAAGATAAACAAGAAATTGTATGCTATAAATCATATATATCTATGAATCAATATATGTTATATGTAGGTCACCGGTTTCAATCAATCCTTCATTAAGTCATACAATTCAATCATTCTCATTAGTCTATCAGTTATACAGTTATATAGTAGTATCAATATTCATATTCAATAATAGTAAGTAGTTACAAAAATCGGTATTCATAAGGCCAATGTTCGTATAAAGTATCAATAACGAGTAATATCAATTAGTGATCATTGACAGAAATCAGTATAAGTAACTAGTATCAATAATCAGTATTCCAACATATATTTAGATGAGTGTATCTTTCTCCTAAGAACAATATCAATGTATGCAATTACCCATAAGATTTATTCAGACCGACAAAACCAACTCA